TTTCAACTTTGCCAAATAAGGGGAGATAACTCAGATAGAGTAATTTTTATTATAGAAAGTGTTGTGAATTTACCTGTTTTAATATGTAGCAAGAAAACAAGTTCGGTGACCCCATTTTTTTCTTTTTCTTATCTGAAAGAATGTTATAAGAGCTATCTTCTCACATTATATCTTAAAATTCTATCATGTAGTTTTTTTTTATCACACAAAATTCGATCTTCCATGCATACTCTATACAAAATCTGACAATTTTGCACAACCTGTAGCGTGAAAAAAAGTCCGGTGACCCATACTTTTTATTATATTTTTAAAAAAAGCATGATAAAAACTTCATTTTGACAAATTATTAAAAAATTCTATCAATTTTGATTAAGACGCCCCAGCCACCTTAAGAGGAAAAACCGTCAACACAACTGTTATCATAATTGTTTTGTCAAGGTATTACAAAATATCTGATATTCATCTATTCCTCCATTCAACAGATACCTCACCATAGTTCTGAAAGATAGGTTCTACATGTATGCCAAACTTCTTCTTATATTCCTCTTGTTGTCTTGTATTATTGCTATTACAGAAATTGTTTAATGATGTCTTTTGAGGCCGATAAAGTTCTCTATTTTTAATTCAAAATTTTCCATATACATATTTTTATTTCGAAACCATCAAGGGAATTGTTTATTATTCAAATGAATTATTTATTATTCAAAGGTATTTCATTGGCACTAGTAATGAAAACACCTTGTTTAGCATACGATAGAAAACTAAAATCAGTATGATTTGACTTTCCTCGTGTTCTTGTTCTTTCTAGTCACATACAAAGTTGAGGTAATAAATTAGTCAAACAGCATCAGATATTGAAGCTAGCGATGGTTAACAACCTTGCCTGAAGACATTTGTTCCATACATAATTTATAACTTGTTGGTATTGACTCCTATAGTAAATACCAAAAAGAAAAGATTTATTTGTATATAGATTTCTGTAATTTGTAATCATCAGGTCAGACTGTATTGTCATTGCGACTTTTAAGGCTATGTTATCTTGTTTTGTTTTGTTTCCAAACAGAACGAAAACGTTATCTTTTTTTATCTTAAAATTGTATAGTTAAGTAACAAACTTGATATTGATGACAGATATCTTTAATGGTCCTTTTTCCTGATTCGGGATTATTCAGAGAATTTGTCATATTATAAAGTAATCTCTGTTATGTTGAACTTCGAATACAAACTTCTAGCTTAATTACTTTTGTGCCATTGGGGTGATGTATAATGTCAATATATCCCACTTTTGTGTCATTGGGGTGATGTATAATGTCAATATATCCCACTTTTGTGTCATTTGGGGTGTTGTATAATGTCAGTATATCCCACTTTTGTGTCATTGGGGTGATGTATGATGTCAATATATCCCACTTTTGTGTCATTTGGGTGTTGTATAATGTCAATATATCCCACCTTTGTGTCATTGGGGTGTTGTATAATGTCAGTATATCCCACTTTTGTGTCATTGGGGTGATGTATAATGTCAATATATCCCACTTTTGTGTCATTTGGGGTGTTGTATAATGTCAGTATATCCCACTTTTGTGTCATTGGGGTGATGTATGATGTCAATATATCCCACTTTTGTGTCATTTGGTTGTTGTATAATGTCAATATATCCCACTTTTGTGTCATTGGGGTGTTGTATGATGTCAATATATCCGACCTTTGTGTCATTTGGGTGATGTATAATGTCAATATATCCCACTTTTGTATCATTGGGGTGTTGTATAATGTCAATATATCCCACTTTTGTGTCATTGGGGGGTGATGTATGATGTCAATATATCCCACTTTTGTGTCATTGGGGTGATGTATAATGTCAATATATCCCACTTTTGTATCATTGGGGTGTTGTTAAATGTCAATATATCCCACTTTTGTGTCATTGGGGTGATGTATAATGTCAATATATTCAACTTTTGTGTCATTGGGGTGTTAAATAATGTCAATATATCCCACATTTGTGTCATTGGGGTGTTGTATAATGTCAATATATCCCAAATCTCCTCTTATTTTTATCATTTAAAAAACAGATTTAAAAAACGATGCCATGAAAAAGTTTTGGAACTAGGAAAGACACTGTAAAATTTTCATTTCATAGTCAACATTGTATTGTGTTTTACCCTTTACTATTTTTGCCCAATAGAATGACAAACAAATAAATTGTTTCTAAATAGAGTCATGATTCAAAAATGCTATCTAGATGTATTTTGGTATCTTATGTCGTTTTATTTCGGTATCATTGACAGATAACCCACAAGTCATCTTAATCATATGAATAAACATCATGCAATGAACATCATTGGGTTTTCAAATGTAACATACTTTATAAATCAACGCATATGCACATTAATTGTATTCATTTAGTTTAAATTATTATAACTTTATGCTTGTTAATTTAAAAAAGTGTTACTGTATATATTATTTGAAATTTTAGTATCTTTATTTAAGACATTTCAATATTTACATGAAGAAAAGCTTACAAAAAGAGGCGGAAGATATAAAAAGGAATAATAAAAAAATTCATGAGTCGAAAAGAAACCATGACAAAAACCATAACATAAACGAAAAAAGTAGAAAAGACAAACAACAGTCTACAGACTGAGCAACCCCACCAAAAATAGGGGGCGATTCATGTGCTCCGGAAGAGTAAGCAGATCCTGTTTTACACGTAGCACTTCTGATGTTGGACGTTTCCTTTGATCTAAAAAAAAGAAGTTGAATTTGTCTTTGCACTGACGACCTTATTTTTCCAAATGTTCTTACATTTACTATAAAATCACGGATTTGCTTACGAGTCCTTACGGATCGCCAACTCGTAGTCAATCGCAAGCATCCGTAAATAGCTCGCTGGTATCCTCAAAAACTCATCACAACTCGCAAACACTCTTAAGGGTCCGTGAAAGGAGAGGCAAATTTTTTGACATGATGATGTCAAAAATCTACTTACGATAGTCCACAGAATGATTTTCCGTAAATAACTCTTAATATTCCGTAAGTATCGAAAACCACACGCAACAACACGTAACCATCCGTAAACTGCTCACAAGAATCAGTAAATGACTCGTAACAATTCTTTTTTACGATTTGTTACGGATAGTTTATGAAGTGTTTACGGATTATTACGAGTGCTTACATATTGCTTACGATTTTATTCGGGTCCTGTTACGATGGTTTTACGGAAGGTTACGAATTATAACGAACACTTTACGTTTAGTTACGAATAATTTACGGAAAGATACGAGTTCTTTACGAATAGATACGTATACTATAAGTATTCTTACGTATTTTTTACGATTTAGGGAGAGGTATAAACGCTACAAAATGGTAAGGCTTCGTAAATACTCGTAACTTTTCGTAACAATACGTAAATAGGTCGTAACTTAGACGTAAAACCTTCAAAGAAAAGTAACATTTCCTTATATACTCGAAAAGTCCGTAAAAAAAGTCGTAAAGTTGCTCGTAGTTATCTGTGACAAATTGTAACAAATCGTGGAATTCTGCCGTAAATACATCGTAATAACTTGTAACAACTCTTAAATCGGTGGTAAAAGTGGCCAAATCGTTAGGATCCATGAATTTGTGCGATCCGTTATGACTCGTAAGAAAAATCCGTGTATGTGAAGAGGGCATTAAGCAAACAACCATCAATCGATCAAGCCCTTCTTTAAATATTTAGATATTTCTTTTTGTCAGCAAACCAATTACATATTTAACCAAACACAACATATCACTTTACACTTCATTTGTAATGTCCATCTTTCTCAGCTTTAATGACATACTTAACAACGACGTCCAGTTGCATTGATAATTGTGATCAAAATTTTGTGTCAGCAGATTTGCCGAGCGTTTCCTTATGTGAAACTTATTTTTCATCAATAACTATAGAAGAGTTACATGACGTTTTTGCTACAGATAAATGACATAGGTAGTATCCGGAATAAATTCCTAAAATATAATAATCGATTATTGACAGAATAGTTACGTATTTTTGAATAAAGACTATTACTTAGTAGATTAAAAGGCTTCTTATCAGTTGTCAGTATTATGATTGAGTGGTTTCCTCCGATATCTTATATCAAGATGAAAGGAATTTCTATGTAAACCAGATCCTTGATCAGTAGCTGACATAAAAATAACAGTACAGTGTACACTTATTGATACATGTACTCAATAATCGGTCGATTTCAAGACGAAAAGAAGGAACGTAGATCGGACAATTGGAAAAAAAAACCAGAAAATTTCACAAAGGTCGGGCCGTACAAATACCGTTGACTATAAAAGAATAAAATAATAAACACTTAGTAGTATGAGGGAATACAAATATAAGTTTACAACATATTTCAATGTCACCAAATGTGTAAAATAACTCCTCAAATATACCAGACTTATAGTTTTGTACGCCAGACGCGCGTTTTTTCTACAAAAGACTCATCAGTGACGCTCGAATCAAAAAGTAAAATTTCTCTTTATTTTTTTCAGGTTTGAAAAAAGAATAGATTTATAAACTCAATTGTTTGTTTATGAACAAAGATAAAAACAAATTATGTAGTATGATAGGAATTTTTTTATATGCTGAATATGGTTATTGAAAGTATATAAGAAAAACAAGAAATCTGCATTCACACAATAATTTTCGTTTGTTAAAGAGATAATGTTGTTAAATATCAGTTTCTCAAACATACAATTCTTGTATTAGTCGTTTGAGTACCAATCACTATTGTAAAATTCTTGAACTTATAATTGTTTGCTGATCTTTAGGTAGCTAATGTTAAAATAGCGTTTCTTTTGTTTTTACAGTTTTGTCGCTGGTTGCAAGTGTGCTCTCCCTTACATTGATTGCTTATGACCGATTTTTTGGTATCGTGTTTGCGTTGAGAGCCCATATGACGACAAGGCGAGCAAGAACATCACTTATATTCATATGGATATGTTCGGCTGGGATTGCGTCTCCAACACTTATTACAAGACAACTTAAAGTTCGAGTTTGGTCCAATCATACTGAGCAATGGTGCGACGATGTGTGGCCAACAGAGACAGAAACGATAGGAAATATGACAATGGGATCAATGCCATCTAGAACAGCCTATTATGTGTCTGTATCTGTTATACTTTATTTCTTCCCAATGTTGATAATGACAGTGGCGTACTCAATAATTATAATCAAACTCTGGTCTAGTACTATACCCGGTGAAAAGGTCGATAGGAGAATGGAAGCTCAATCTCGAACGAGAAAAAAAGTAAGTACAAAACTAATGAAGCCTAAAAAATAACGAGAATGACATGTTAGTACTAATTTTTTAATGGCTAATGGATTTGTATTTTTCTCAGATCGACAGATATGAGTAAATTTGAAAATTATGTATTTGCCATACAAGAATGCATAACAGCTAACCATCATCATTACTTTTGGTGAATTCCATTATATCACTGGAAACCAGACTAAATTCCGAAAAAAAAAATTCAACACGATATAATATATTTGTATTACTGCTAATGTTGTTATGTAGATTGTACAGAATAATATATACATTATAGCTGTCACTTAGAATCACCACTGTCTTGCAGGTTTATAGAGAGATGAAACTTTGTCATCTTTCGCGTCTCGATTTTTGTTAGTAATCTTTAACAGGTTGGGATAATATCCCAATGGATCATTATAAGTCATTTGGGTTATTATAGAAAAGATGGGATATAAATTTTCATAATTTTTCAGTGCAAAAAAATCTTAATTTTTGAATTATTTAAGCAAAACTATTGAAAAGTGCATTTGTTTAGGTCAATAGTAGCAACTTTTGGTTAGCGACTTTTCCAGAAATGAATAAGTTGCTAAATTGATCCCTCTGAAAATCAGCATCTTCAAAGATGAATGAAAGATTGGATCAAACTCATAAACAATACGGTGTTCCAAAAAATTGCTAACCGAAAGTTGTCGCTTTTATGTAATCATTTGCACTTTGCAATAACTTTCCTTGAATCCAAAAAAATAAAACAAAAACAAAAACAAAACATTTTTTTTTGCACAGTAAAATTATATCCAACTTGGTATATTATATTACATATGGGATATTATAACCCATTTGGGAGATTATTCCCAACCTGTTGAAGAGTTGTTTTTTTTTTTGCCAGGAAAATGGAATACCTTTAACAATTAACGAAAAAATTGAAAGTAAATCATACAAATATATTTCATAATATATGTTTATATAAATATATATTATTCTATATGCTGATGACACGATTATTTTTGCAGAGGGCAAATACGGTTTACAAAAAGCCTTGAATATATTTAAGCCATACTGTATATTGTTGAAATTACAAATAAATAAGTATAATGTTATACCAAGAGGACCATAAGTCGACGGTTAAACCAAAGAGACCAAAAGAATAAAAATTAAAAAAAAACCCAAAAAGGTCATAAAACACTTCACAGATAGCAACAGATTGAGTAGCACAAACCCAACCAAGAACCTGCGGTGAACTCGAGTGGTCCCACTTGGTCAGAAGTACCCACTCCACCAGCGAAATCCGTTGCGTTACTCCTGTTAAAATACGTTGCCGAGTTATAACTAGTTATATGATATCATACATTATCAAGTTAGAACATATCTCTTGTCAAATCTTAGACGTTACCAAAGTTTTTAAAAACTTAAGGTTCCAAGCTTATAACTAGGTACGACATTTTATTTATAAGCTTATTTAAGAAGATAATGACTTTATGTGTCATAATTTTAACAAGCCAAGTTCTTGAGATACACATCAGTACGTTGAGAGTGAGTTTTATCCAAAGACAATCTTTAGAGATAAAACAGAGAAAAATGAAACTGAAAAAGCATTGTTTTTTTTTATAAGATTTTAGGAGGAATAAATGACGGTGAGTTTTTACCGGTTGATATTCATTTATTTGATTTTAAGATGCAACAAGTTTTATTGTATAGATATGGTGTTTGAGATTTACAAACTTTGCAATTTCGACTAAATCTATGTGATTTCCTGTCAGAGAGTACTTAAAGCAAGGAATACTACGTCAACTATGGTCTAATAACATAAACGGTACCAATTTTTTCTGCACCAGGTTAGCGTTTGGAGATCCCCCTCCCCCTTAACCTTCCTATACTGTCGTTACAGAAATATTTGTAAAATAATGACTAAAAACTATCTGGTTAGTAATAACAACTGGGGGTATTCGTGTGAATTAAATCCAGTTGATATTTAATTTGTTCAGTCTATATATAATGAAGTTCGAATTGGATTGATTTTCCAATACCATTTTGGATACTTTAGATCGGAAGACTATTATTGACTCTAATTGAATACTGTGATAGACTTGTAATGAAGCAAATATTTTGTGACAAGTTTGTACAAAAATGGAAATCTGACATTTATCCAAGGACAACTTTAAGTGGAAATAAAAAAGAATGTTCATAAGTTATCCTGACTTTGCGTGTTTGAGAAACCTGATTAGCAAGCTGCGAAAAATATAAAATAAAACAAGGAAGTGTGGGGTATTAATCAATCAGACAGCAAAATTATGACACAGACCCACAAGACATCTAGAGGTCAACAGACAGGTGTCTTAATAAAATATTAAGCTCTTGGAGTAAGCTATGAATCGGTCCGAATTTGAATCAATTTAAATGAGAATATTAGAGATCTACTATTGACACTTGACGAATGAACAAAATGAAGTAGGGAAACATTGAGGTGTGCCGAAAGACAACCATGCACTGACCAGGTTGCTGACCTTGAACAGGCACATCAGCAAGTAGTGGGGTTTCATTAGTTCATTCTAGATCATTTTAGGTTTTAGACGACTTAAAACTAAAACCTGTGACAAACGTGACGATTCAAGTTTCCCATTTTCAACTTCCCATCCCCTAATGGTTACATAACTTCTTCTTGATAGTACGGTCTTTACTTATTTGTTTTTGTTACTGCTAGGTGTATATATGTTCACATCACACGTATTTCATTTACAGGGATCGGTTCCAAACGCAAAAATCTACGCAACCATGCCAAAAAGGAAGAACGACTGAAATCGACACTTTATTACTAGTTGGTTGGTCGTGTCTGAACTCACGATGGACATGTGTTTGCGGTCTTGCATCTTACTACACAAGAATATTCATCTGATCTATGAATATGTCAACTGTATCCCTTCTGTGACATTTTTTTACTAGAGTCTAGATTCACTAAGTGTTTAGTATATGCATATCCAGGACGTTTAGTTGTCGATTCAACTTATCTTGGAATTCATTCGATTTCCTCATCTGTTTTCTCGAATGTTTGTTTAAAAAATTGGACAAACTAGTACTGAACATTCATAAAATTCTGTTACCGTTCCCTTTTCACGAATGTGACCTACCGAATTAGACTATTTACCCCTATTTGTGACATTTTTACCTATTGTTTTTGTTTGTTTTGTTCATTCATCGTTGTCAATATAATGGAATTTGATGCGACTGTCATACAAGTGAGAGGTTTAGCTAGCTTTAAAACCAGGTTCAATCCACCATTTTCTACATAAGAAAATGCCTGTACCAAGTCAGAAATATGACAGTTGTTATCCATTCGTTTGATGTGTTTGAACTTTTGATTTTGCCATTTGATTGGGGACTTTCCTTTCTGAATTTTCCTCGGAGTTCAGTATTTTTGTGATTTTACTTTTTACCTGTTTTTTAACACATTACTTGTACACAAAACAGCTAGCTTTTGATTTTGCCATTTTATAAAGGTATTTCCGTTTTGAATTTCCTTGGAGTTCGGTATTTTTTATATTTTACTTTTTTCATCATTCAACTTAAATTTTCAATGTATGGATGATGTCCTTAATGAAGTTTGGTGAATTTGTTATTCGTATCGATTACATAGGCCTTTACATGAATTAGGGCAATAATAGATTACTGATGTTCAAATCTCTAAAATTGACTAGGAAGAGAAAACACAGGCAACAAAAAAATCTGAGGTAATGGCATAGACTCCAAAAGGAGCGAGATCGGGTGCGTCGACAGGGTCCGCGTCACTGGCTATGCATGCACCCCCCGCAATGCGAGTTCACACTTAGTCAAAATGTCACAAACATTAACAGGATACAATCGGTAAAAGTACAGATCAGACGACTATACTGGTATATAAAGATATAAGATCGCCGAACATGTTGCTAGAGAGTAAAGACATATCGTATCGGTCAACACATTCGTGATGGTGACCCTAAAAATTTTGAAGTGTCGATTTCATTAGCTCCACATCATAAGGGATACCAAAATGACGTAGGTCTGTTTCACATCACGAATTATGATTATTAGTTGAAAATAAGTCACGGTTCAGGACTAAGGATTATGATGATTTTATTTTTTTTTTATTGTAAATTTTCCTTTTGTATGCAGTTGCAATCCTGCAGCACCTGTATATAGAGTATATATTTATCGCGGTTAATAAGCTATGATAGGTCTTTTGTTTCCTTCAACATTATAATGATAGGGGGTTGCTGCACAAAAGAAAGCTATTAAACCAAGGTATCATAAATGGTAACTTTTTAATGGTAACATCTCTTCGAATGTTTTTTATTATTTTTTACGAATGCAATCATAATGTGGTTGATTGCAATGTAATATCTTTGTCACAGGTGACCACGCATATGTTTAACTTGTCGTAGCCACATCCCGTTCTCGTTTCCTCATAAATGGTATTCCCAAATGCGAGTAATAACCATATTTTAAGAGTTAAGTATTAACAGAGCAGAAACTACTGATCCTTTAACAGTTTGTGATATTGCAACTAAACAGAGCGAAATGCAATTTCTATCAGTTTAAAATGTGTTGAAAGATACTAGAAAACACTTTTGTGTAGTTTAAATGATTGTAGTAGAATTTGTATGATATGTAGGGTTAGTGAGTGTTTTAATTACTGCTGAAGACAAATCTGACAGATAATTGATCAGTTTACCAGAAAAAGTTCACTGGAGGGAGAAAGCCGGAAAATAGTTGATATATTTCTGATGAATTCCATTATAATTTTCATAATCATTCTATATTAAGTCCATGCACGGAGAGGGGTGTTATCTTGAAGAAAACATTTTCTTTGTTCGAATTCTGTCTAAATTAGAATTGAAATACAAGATTCTACAAATGTCTAACAGTGACATCAAATATCAAAGACTGTTCATTATTATGTTGGTTGGAAATCGGGTTACTGCCTAGAAACTGTTGATAAGAAGGATAAATATTATCAATAGTATTCA